AGCAGGCCTAGCAATATGGGCTTTGCAGTAAATTATGGTGAAGTATCTCAAGCAGTCTTAGGCATGAAATTAGTGTGTAGGTGGTTCAGCAAAGGTACCTAAAGGTACCTTTAGGTAGAAGAAGCAGCACAGCTTTGAGTGTCTAGTGCATTTTTTTACAGATATCTTGAAGGCTGAGAACCTCTGCAAATTAGGCTGAGTTCCTCAGACTACTCTTAGGAAGTTAAGATGGTGAATTTTGCCAGTATAGGCTTAGTTTAGTCTTATCCTTGAGCATTTTCAAAAGTACCCAAGTTAGGTCTGTGAAGCAGTTATAGTGAGGTAATTAATATATTCACTGTACTTTAAAACATGGGAGGAACTGGACACTCCGGAGTGGAAAATGAGCCTTTTCTAAGTCTGGCAGAGGCATTTGCAGGAGCTTGTAGGAATACGTTTCTTAGACGAAAAAAATATAAAAAAACAAATTGTGTGATATGGGTCTCTTCGAGAGTGTTGTAATATCAAGAATTAACTGGTTCTCTTGGGGAAGTATTTCATAGTGGTCGGAGATTAAATGCCTCATTCTATATTTTCTTGGGGATTCAGAGCTAACTTTCCTGAAAGGATCACTTAAAACTACAGATCAATTAATCCAAGGCTAAATTCAGTACTGGTGACTGTATTTAGAAGTAAACACAACAATTCAAAGATAACTAAATCACTCTACACAGTGTTGTACTTGTGATGCTGCTATTTCGGTGTATTCCCAAAAACATGACTGAAGATTTTCTTGATTTTTCTGTACTTTGTACTTCTTAAAGAACTACTGGAATCTTATACTATTTTTTATGCATAGTTTTGCATATATTGAGAGATGGGAAGCAGAAGAATTTGTCAGAATGAGCACGTTGTGCTTCATTCACCTGTCCACCAAAATCCCATCTATAAAGCGTTCTTATTCTATGGTATTGAAATGTCTATATTTTTCCAGGCTGCAGCTTGTCCCAGATAAGCTTATTTCATTGCATTTCATTTCATGGTTCCCTCTGAATGCCTTGTACACAATATTCTTGGATGTTTTCTCATTTAGAGAGACTTGACAGAGAAGTTAAGATATTTCAAGTAATGCTGTTCGTGATCCACAGCAGGATTATTGTAGATTGAGGCGTGACGGTATCTTGGATTCTCGATGGAACAACATACTTAGCATATGAACCTGCATACAGACACAACACAGGGAGGCTAATTGCATTTGGTTTAACAACACTAATTTAGTGGAATAGCCTTATTATCTGGCCCAGAATTTACAGCCTGAGTTTAATGAGACCTTTTCTCTTTCTCTCTCTCTCTCTCTCTTTCTCTTTGTGTCTTCATCCTTATCCCTTATATGATAAATACAGAGCAGCAGCAGACTGAGATCCCATCATTGCTTCAGTTCGAAAGATGAGTATGTTTAGATAATGTACATCTTTGGAGCTGTGTGTAATATCATTAGTAGCATTTTGAGGCTTTTGGGGCCCTTGTAGCATACATCATCCTTAGGACATTGCCACTGAGATGATGGAGAACTCCCATTAATCTGGGCCACCTAAAAATAGGGCAGCTATTCAGTGACTAAGCTGTCATTGTATTTTACTCCCCACAAGGGAAGTTGCTTATGCACGTTAGGGCCAGCAAAAGTCCTGTGAACTACTTACTGGCCCCAAAATAGAGCTTACGTAGCGTGTAAGTGGTTCCAAAGACTTATTCTGGCCCTCTCTGCTGGAACGAATTTGGTGCAGCATGCGTAATGACTGTCTCCTAATGAGGAGTGGTGTCATCTGATATAAAATGACAAGGAAGCAAACCAAACACAGGAAGGCCTTTACTTGCTGCAACAGCTGCTCCCTTTGCTAATTGATACTGTGTATCTGTGGCATCATCCCAGTGACTATTTTAGTTTGTTTCCAGCTGTGAAGGTTTTTGTTTCACAGCTAGTGGTATCTGTGCAGCTGGCAGAGTGAGGTTAAAAATAAACACAACTAATTCAGCAAAGCAATGAGAAAAATGTACAAAGTACTTTAAAAATAATATAATCCAAGGTTATTTGGGAGAGACATCTGAGTTTGTGTGGAGAAGGGCTGAATTTTTATGGAAAAGGGTTGATCACCTGCCTGTGACTGCCAGGAAGAGGGAAATGCTTTAATATCAATTTTGGGCTTATGCTGAAATTTTCCAAAGACCAAACTTAGCTGGCAGTATTGAAAGTTCCTCTACAATATCCTACGCGTATGTTTAAATATTTACTGTAAGGGAGGCATTTTGATGAATGAAAATCTATTTCTTCAGTTATGATTTTTCATAAACTCTTTGCCTTTTTGCTAAGCAATAGTTAAGTAGCTATTGTTAAATAGAGGACGACTTCTTTTTTAATTTGGTATTCCTCTTTTAGAAACAAAACTTTTCCTACCAAACTTGTTTCTCGTGTTTCACCACATATCTTCTGGCAAGACCTATGCTAACCCTGCTTAAACTTCTAAGAGCATTAAGGATGGCTACAAAGATATTAAGTTGCGCGATCCCTGCTTAGACCCTAAACATGAGCTTCTGCAAGGGAAGGCAGAAAGAATGGGTTTTTGGGCTGTAGTTGATTTTATATATAACCTGTTTCAATCTAGCTTGTATGCAGGAAATGTTTAGAGGTGGTGCCAAAAGTATCAAAGTGGATTTCTTACAAATCCTTTATAATATTTAGATTTATTTGGATATTCCTATAGCCTTGCCGTTGATTAGCTTTGGGAAAATGTCATGAGAAGAGAAAATCTGAGGCAGAAAACAACCCATTTCTTGTATGCTGTGTTTATGTACTTTCAAGAATCTTACTTGTTGGTCAAAACAATTACGCATATATATGACTAGAATTACTTTAGGTCTCATTAAACATCTTAATGTATATACTTCTGGCATTTGTTCTTGAATGATAGTGACAAGAAACATAAATACTTATAGACACATTCCAGCAATGCCTGTCCTGCTTTAGGTCTTAATGAAATCTAGGGATTTGTCCTGTTTAATAAACAATTTCTTCTGTTTTATTTCAGTAAATTTTTTCCAGAGGCAAGTTGTATTTCATTATTAAATCACTGTAGTTGGCTACAGTTTTATTACAAAAAAAAAAAAAAGTAGGTCTCATGTTTGTTAGTGCTGCAAACACTCTGTACTTTCATTAATTTAAGAGATTAGGCTTTTGGAAGGAAAAGCTTGACTTGTTGATGATCTGGTTTTGCTTCCATGTTTCTGAAAGTTTGTGCTTTCTGTTTTACCTTCACATTTTGGACGCAACAGTGCATGAACTGCACACAAGTCACACGGCTAAGAAATCTCCAAGAACAATGCGTATATGCTAGCTTGGGAATTTTGACTTCTGCTTATTTTGAACATGTGACAAATGTCTTTCTGCCCGAACTTAGGAAACTGGCATTCACAAGTCAGTCACATTACCTGGAATGCAAATATATGCTACTTGTAGCAGTAAGGCATGAACTAACAGAAAGTTAAAATAAATTAACCTTAATCACTTTTATCAAACTGGCCTTGCTCAACTCTTCTATTTAGAATGTCATTAAGTGTTTACTTAATACATTCTAATCTAGTCTATTTTGTAAGGAGAAATGGCACCTAGAAACATAGAAACAAACATTGCAGCAGAGGTGAGGCGAGTGCATAAAATAATATTTGGTTAATCTGCAATTATAGACCAGTCCTTACTTTGTGTCTTTTCTCAGGATATCCATTTCTTAAAGTTTACTCTAAGAATGGAGCCTCTACTGGTGTGCAACTATATTAAGATTGTTACATGCCAATAACAATAGCTGCAAATCTGGGCTGCCCGAACATCGTCAACATGTTTGGTGGATTCTGACATAAAATAAATCTCAAGAAGTTACTAAAAGTTAGTGAGTTTAATACTCTAACACAGAGCCCACTGTGAAAAAGTATTGAATAGGCAGGAAATCTGTCATATTTCACTCGAAAGAACATTTTAATTTTCTTGTTTAGGAAAAGCTAATTATAGATATGTAAATAAAATACTAGAAGTTTTATATTCACTCTTATCTCGGGTCCAAACATGTTCAGTTTTACAGAAAAACTATGTTTTAGTTTTACAGAAAAATATTTTAATGAAGCTCAAAATGAAGGGATTTAAGTTAAATGAGCCTTAAAATGTAAATGGGATTTTGTCCTGTGGTGAAAGTGTGTGCAGTGATTGAAGTTTGGGAAGACATTGAGTAAAATCCTTTAAATTGCTCTACAATCTTAACTTTTTCAATGCATCCTTTGAAATGTGTTCTTTCTTCTTTTTCAGTCTGGGTAGTGTTCTACCTAGTAATGAAGCTTCCCAAAAGATTTGTTTGCGTAGCCAGAGGATAGGTGAAACCGTGTATCCAGTGCTAAGGGAGGTTTTGGTCATTAACTTCAATGAGACTAAGGCTTCATTCAGCGAGTCTGCATTTCACTGTAGTCTGGTGGGGTAGAGTTTAGGCCTCGCGTAATGATGCAGGTCCTGTGAAAGTCACTTGCTCCCTGCCAGGCTGCTGTTAAATAGCCTGCTGAAATCCCCACTGTTAATAAGGACGGAAGAGCATGAAAGTGTAAGTTGTATAAAACTCCTTAAATTCTGAAATCTGTTCGATAGTACTTTCCAAATCCTCTATCTGATGTGGCTGCTTCTGACGTGTTTGTGTAAAATAACTCAGATGCCATCCAGCCAAAATCCTGAGGAGACTTATCCACAGTCTTTGCCTGCAAACCTGGAATAGCTGTAGCAGAACGAGTGCTGCTGAAAGCGACATCTCTCCATTGCTAAAACACTATGCTTAATGTATCTCCTCTCAAATTACTTAGGATGATTTCCATGGGTGTCCTATCTGAAGGGACAGTGACCCATAGAGAAAAATGATAGCCTGAGAGTTGGGGAGATGAGAAAGTTTTTGAGATAAACAAGAATCAATGTGCTCTTTTTTTTTTTTTTCCCTCAGAGCATCCCATTCCTTTTATCAAGCCACCTAGGTAGATTCTTGAATCCACCTCCTGGAAAGGAGGCATAAACCTGCTGCCTGAGCTGTCTTAAGAGCTTGATCAAGCAGTGAAGTAAGTGCCTTTTACTACATGGAAACTACAAGGTCAGAAGGGGAAAAAGTACTGACGAGATGGTGATTATGAGCATTAATCATAATAATATCGAGTTCTTATATAGCACTTTTCATCAGGAGATTTTAAAGGGCTGTACAAAAGAGACGAGTCTCATTATCTCTATATTTTAGGTCTAAAATGTGACCTACAGTACCTTAAGGTTGTTCTCCGAGGGGGAAAAAAGGACTTTGGGAAACAACGATACTTATTCTCAGTTAAATTTCTAATCATCACAATGAACATTTTTTAAATCTGCTTGTTCTGTGGACTCTGTAATGGAATTTTAATTGCTTTATTTGCAGCTTGAGATATAATGAATGAATAAATGTAATTCTTATCAGTATGCTGACATCAGCTGATTAAACTGGTACATTGGCATTCGCAGGGCATATTCAGACAATTATGTTAGCATATTCAATTATGTCAGCCTGCTGGTTATCGCCTTGTTTTTTGGGAAATGGTAACTGATTAGACTGGTGTTGCAATGCACAGTAAAATGGATCAGCTTAAACCACCTTCAGCAACGGTTTAAGTGAATCCCTTTCATTTGCAGAGGACTGATGCACAGCTCTTCCAGAACATCTTAGCTTAGGGCATGTTAACTAACAACTGAGAGGCGGTCTTTTATTAAAACAGGCTAACGCTATTACAAACAATTATCTGAGTGTTCTCTAAATGCCCCACAAATTACTTAAGCTAAAAAAACCCGGCAACATTACTGTCAGCCATTACTGAAGGGCCAATTTTTGTCTTCCGCTGTCAGGAAAATGTTATAGTTCACCATGGTAGAAGACAAACCCTGACATCTATCAGCAGAATTTTGTCCTAGGACAAAAGATTTATGTCTGCAGAATAACAGAGGACAAAAATGGGTGCTTCTCCTTCTACAGTGTCCCTGGTGCAGAGAGGTTCTGGCATTTGCTTGGGATTTTGTAAGGGGTTTTCCTCTCTGGGGTCAAGGTTGATCTGCAGAAAGAGAGTCTTACTGAGGAGAGAGACTTTTCAGAGTTGTGAGGAATTTTAAATATCAGAGAGGAAACTCAGAGAAATAATAAGTAAAAATATACATTTGTCAATGTGCAGACAAATGACGTTAATGAGGCAATATCTGGGAAAGTTTAAAAGCCACCCAATGGAAAATGCCCAGTGGAGGTCCTGCTCCTTGGAAAGTATTTTAAGAAATGTTTTTTTTGTAAGTAGGTCAGTTTTGAACACTAATGTGGATGCTGCCTGTTAAAGAAGTTTCTTCGAATATAAAGCTTGTCCCAACTTCACTTAAGCAAAGACTTGAGATGTAAAACAAGAACAGGAAAAAAAGTGCAACTAGCTGGATTATGATATGTTTCAGGGGGTTATGTATATCTCTACAAAGGGTGAGAGTTTTGGAATAGGAGGTAAAAATATTTTTATCTAAAAGCAAACTCCTCTATATTCTTTATTTGGCTAAGAGTAACACTAATGCCAGACAGTAGGCCCGAAGTACCATCCGCTCATTTTCATTTAGAATTTCTTTTTACATTTGGCCTTTTTTGTTTACAATAATGATAAAGATTAAATAAGGCTGATCACTCAAAGCACTGTTCATCGGACTTTTCAGCTCCGTGGGCACTGATGATAGACTTTATAGATCCTGCACCAGCTGAACTTAATGGTGTTCATGAACTTTAAGTTTCCTGGCACTGATGAAATGAGACTGGAATTCTTTGGTCTTTAGCTCTGCTAGGTCTTGCCAATGTGGAAGATGAAAAACTTTCAAAACCCCATACCAAAAAGCCTCCAGACGCTGGACCAAGATGTGTTCCAGTTCCACAAAGTTTAACTATTTAAAAAAGAAAATTCAAACTAGCACTTCAAACATCAGTCAGGCTGAACCATGAGTTTGCTACAGAATTCATTATAAATTATTTAACATATTTGTTTTGCTTCTATTTCTGGTCATATACCATTTGCAAAGGGTCTTTCAAATATACTCATTCTTCTAAATTATTTGCAGAACAACTAATAATTTTTGTTCTGCAAATTTTGTTCAGCAATGAGATCTTTGGTATTAAAAGTCCAACCTGTTCTAATAAAATTTACTGATTATTTATTTGGATTCCCTGATGAATAATTTTGATTTTAAAAAATCAAGTTTCTCATTAATAGCCTCGCCCTTTTTTTCATTTTAGTGTGGATTTCCTTTATAGGGAATTAATTTGCTTACGTATTTGCAATAATGCTAATGCTGGATATATAACATCAAAGCAAATATCTTTTAAAGGTTTTAGCAAATCCTTCAGAGATTTTTTTCAGTATTATTCTGTCCCTATAATAATAACTCTATACAAGAGAGGATTTGCTTAACATGTGTGATTTCATTTACAAGTAGAAAGAGAATGGAGACAAAGCACTCACTGAAGCAGCTTTACATTCCTGGAGTAAGTAGGTACTACATTTATATCAGAAGACTCAGAGGAAAAATAATGGGATGGCTTACTCATGCTATGTGCTGAGTACTGTCAGCTTTCAGTAGTCAGTGAGCTGAGTAGGTCGGCGTTTCCTAGAATCTGTCCTCAGATGAATGCCACTGATCTGATTATAATTATTTCCTTCCAGTCTTTCCCAAGTGATTATGAATTTGCTGTTCATCAAAATAAAGAACTAAAAAATATTAACCTCTGTATAGATACAAGGTGAACAGGAGTAGATGGACATAGGGAAGACATACTGCTTTGCACTGAGTCAGAAGAAAAACATCCAACAGCCTTCAACAAACCCTTCTAGTAGGAATCTTGAGGTTTTGATTTAACAGTGGAGTCAAGAGGCCCATGGATATTTTTCCAGGCCATTGTATAGCCCATGTTTCTGATGACAGTCAGCCATGTCTCTGAGAGGGGATTACAATTTATATAGCAAAGTGAAAACTGTGGAAGATGTAATGAGAATGAAAGGAGTGAATGCAAAAGACAAGAGTGAAAATAAGTGAAGCAAATAGAGCACTAGTGCTTTGGTATCTTTGGTGTGGGTTGATAAAATAGAGGAGGGTTCCACTATTAATGGGGACTGGGATGTCCCAGAGGTGGGAAAATCAAAATTTACATAATTGCAATTGCAATTTTGAGACCTATTTTTGTTGAAAAACAAGCTCTGAACGTCCAATGTAGTGGAGATTTTGTTTTTCAGAGGAAGAACTGAAAAAAACACTGACATGATCTCCATTAGGAGCGCACTGCCCACGGGTTTCATGCTGCTATTCTCTCTTAAGAGCCAAGACCTCAAGAGAGGACCAAATTACAGCGTTTTACAAAATATGATAAATGAATAATGTAGGAAAGCTATTCCTGCTCTGATATAACTAGCCATAACACTAAGTGCACCTTCCAACCTTAACAATAGCTGAGGAAAAGCATTAATCCTGAGGGCAGGGACTTACCCTCAATGGAGGCTTGTACTTTTCTACTTTTGGCTTGTACTTCTACTGTTGCTAAAGCCTGGCCCCTTTGAACATCCTCTGAAGGAGGACAGACTTGATATCTCTTCTTATACCATCTGTAGCTCTTTTTTTCCACCTCTTGGAGAGTGAAATCCTCCTCAAGGAAGCAGCCCCTCTACTGCTCCTTTTGTTCTCCCAGTTGTCTCTTGCTAAAATAAGCTTTGGGGACAGTAACTGTTTGCTTGCATAGAGTGCTGGTCATACAGAACCTCTGTCACAGTTTGGCGCTGTTATAACTGAGATCATATATTAGAGCCATGAAAGCTTTTATGCTGTGCTGGTACTGTTGCTGTTATTTTGGTAATCAAATGTGAGGGAAGTTGAGGGAGGTAACATAGACCTGAGGGTCTATGTTGTTTATGCTTTCAGCTGTCAGGCTGGAGCCTAGAGCTTGAATTTGGGCTTTTGGTTCTATTACTATTCCAGTGCTTTACAGTGTTTCATAATGCATTATCAGTTACAGTTGATAAGTGAATACATAAGAAAGTGTTATCTCCACCTCGGGAGGTTTCCATGCTGTTTATTTAACCGCAACAAGTATTGTCTTTACCTTTCAATTCTGTGATAGTGCCATTTCAATATGGCACTATCTTTGACTCAAACTGTGAGAATTAACTGCTTTGAATATTTTACAACTCATTATCCAAGTTGGTGATCTTGGTCATAAGGTTAGGATGCTCGGGTTTCTAAATTAATTTAGTGTGTCTTCACTTTTAATATCTGATCTGAATGACATTTACAGGATAAGCAGTCTGGTTTGCCACTGTCCCAGTATAGCACATTATGTTCTTGTTACCTCTCACGTTGTTAATTTTTATGAATGTATAGCACTGATGAAAAGCTATTCAGCAAATAAGACTTAATTTGTGAAAAAATAGGCACGTTCTTGAGGGAATCTTCTTTTCTGTCTGATCATTGGATAAAATGTATTAAAGAAGATTATTTTTTTCTGTTATATTGCAGTACTTTGGCAAGATACTGAAATCCTTGCATCTAAATATGAAGGTATAGCTAGCATTGCATGACTAAGGAAAAATAAACATGTGCTTAATGTAGTAGATCTTAAGGCTAGTATAGGTAATTCACTTTCTAGACTCATATTTTGTTTACTTAATATACTTAATTAGATGCTTAAAACATAGGTCAAATTTGCTTTAAACATTAAACATGCATCTTATCTGTTTTGTTAGGTTTGGGGCTGAGGAAATAAGCAAGATAGTGAAGAGGTGCTACACTTTCTGAGGCGTATTTAGAGCTGAGTGCTGAGGATGACCTGGAGAGACATCTGACGTAAAGCACCACCTCCAGGAAGGCGTTCAGCTCCTGCTGAGGATGAAAACATGTGGGGGGACAGAAGGCCCTACCAGAGCTCTCAGTTATAGTCAGACGTCCCTGCTGATGGCTGGAGACTTGAAAGGAGAGAAGGTGGGACCAGGACTAGTTAACTAGTCGCTACCCTTCGTATGCTCTTCTGGAGCCACATCTGAAAGCCCTCCTGCCTTATCAGGCTGTGGCTGCCCAAAGCTTGGCAGTTTGTGCTCCGTGAGATATACTGGGTGGAGGTGAGAGCAAGGACTGGGCTCGGTTCGCTTTCCCTCAGTCCTTGTGGATGAAAACAGAAGACCTGTAAAAGTGTAAGAAACTATTGTTGCCTCCTCCCACCTCACGTTTGTTCACTAGTTGCCTCAGGAAAAGAGGCTGCTACCACCAGAGAAGCAAATGCAGTGGGAGAATTGTGCGGGCAAAGCCCGTGGTAAGGCAGGACCCTCACTGTAACCACAGAGAGCAGTCCACATGCATCTAAGGTCAAAATTAGCTCATTAATAATAATACCAAAAAATTAATTTAGATGAATATCTTCAAAGCTAAAAGTTTAAGCTGGGCTCTTTCAGACTGGTAGGTTTGGAAATCTCCCACACATCCCTGCAGGAATTCATCATTCTTATCTTGGTAACATATGGGCTGAAGATGTTACAGGTAAGTATCTAAGCAACTGCAAATAATACGACAAGAGGTCATGAGTAAAAAAGAAAAAAAAACTTCTAAAAATGTTAGTGCGTGTGCTGAAATTTCCTGAGTTGAAATTTGAGTTTCTGTCTAACACAGGCTTTTAAATGGCTGAAAGAGTTATGTAAAGATTAGAAAACATTTCTAAGAGAAACTCTGAGTCACATGCAGCATTCAAAATGGCCTAATTTTCTCTTTCTTTGCAAGCTGAGTAAGAATTATTGCTACTTTTTCTTCCAAAAATATTTTGGCAAATTAATTTGAATTGAAGAAAAAATTCCATTTTAAGACAAAACTTCAGAGAAATAAGTATATTTCTTGATAATGTATTGGTGCATGTTAAAGATGCTTCTGATTTTTTTTTCTCTTGTTTCTGTGCTTTCTACCTTTTCTCCATCACTTTTAGCAGGCAATAGACTGCTAAAATATCTGATTGCTTTACTACTTTAGGGAAAATCAGGAAGATTGCTTTTCTGTGTGCTGAAGAAACGCAATGCAAGTTTTCATACCACTAAAACTCCTTCCGCGAGTCAATCCATTTCTTGAGAGCATGCCTGAGCACACCAGTTAATTCACTCCAATTGCTTCAACTCACATTTTGCCTTTGTACATCTTCTCTCAAATTGTAATCAGCTGCTCTGTAATCATTTGTTTCAAAGTGAAATGGATGTAGCATTATTTTTTTTTATTACTATTTATTTATTTATCTCTGTGTGCGACCATCCGAAACCCCAGCAAAATGCATGCCAGTGCCGCAGAGGTATTTTGGCTGTTCTTTAAGGGAGGAAAGAAGGTATCAGGTTTCAGAAAATACGTTGTTATAACCGTTACTTTAAAAAAAAGCATATATTCTTCTTTTGACATTTTCCACTAATGCATTCACAACTAATATGAAGCAACAGAAGCCCACTTAACTGCACAGATGACCACATGGAAATAAAATATGTACAAAAATACATATATATTAAAAATTAAGCCAATCTAGTTATAGAAAAAAGAAGAGTGAAGAGTGATAAGACAATTATTAGGGAACAACTGTAAGAGAACAAACAGTTTTCCGTATTCCAGGCACACCAGAAAACATTGTGGGTTGAAGGGAGAGAGACCAAGCAGCCCTACCACACCAGTGATATTTTATCATATAACACTGAAGGCATTACACTGCTATGCTTCAGGAGCTTGTATGGAAAATCAAGACATCCCATCATTTTTTGCTTCCATGAAACAATGGAATGGCACCTAAAATAAAAAGCAATCTTGTATGTGTGGGACCTGACAGATTTGTTTCTGTGGTAGTCAGTCGATTTTCAATCATTTCCCAGCACATCTCTTGTTCCCCTTCAACCTCTGATAGCATGAGAGACACTTTATTCACTAAGGAGGTGTTGATTAATCAAATTATGCTAAGAGTTGTCTGAATTTTCTTTTGACAATTCAAATACTCTGATGCAATTATTCTGTGAAAAATATTCATCAGTTTTCACTGGCCCGCATCACTGCTATGGTTGCTTTGGTAAGGCCAAACCTTTCTAGGCATATACTTGGATCTAAAGTAATAGCCTGTTTCGTGATCAGTGCAGACTTTTGAAAGCTCATAGTCCTAACACTAAGACTATCTTGAACATAAACCTAGATTAACTTGGCCTGTAATCATGTCACCTAATCTAGTATTTATCATATTTTATACTGTTTTGGAGTCTTTCACTCTAAAGTGCTAAGCTAGCCTTAAATGTGCATTTGAGCTGACCAAAACACAGCTACCTTCACCTCTGGCTAGGCAAAACCTAGCTGGACAGATATGGCGGGATTCAGCTGACCAGACAGAGTCACCCAGTGTTATATGTGGTGCTGTGGGATAGCCTCCAGCTGCCTTTCCAGAGGTGCAGGTCTCCTACACATCTTCAGTTGTATCTGCCTGCCCTAGGGTAGGTTGAATATCTTACAGTTTCCCAAGTAGCAATACGTTCCTATGCTTAGGGCACTGACCCATGCCCTCAGTGCTCAGCAAGATGCATTACAGTAACAGATTTTTACAGCTAAAATTGCTAGCTGTCCTGCCTAGGTGCTGTCTATGCAGATATTGGATTTCAATAACTTAATTTTTTTTCTACTGAAACTAAGAAAACTGTGAGGTTGGAAGCTCTGCTACAGTCTTTGCGGTTTTCCACCATTCCTTTTATCTATTCAGCTTCCTTTACAGACAGTTTTATGAAAGCAGGCATCTCCCTTTTCTAATTATTGTTAACACTCAGCCAGTTCTGTCACTTGAAGGTAAAAGTAATGTGCAATTTAACATCTGTATGTAGCCCTTTGCCCTTTTGGTCATGTTGAGCAAGAAATTTGATCTTTAGCAGAACCATCTATTGGGTTTCAGGAAGTTTTGGATCATGTTCCCAGGTGCATATAGTCTTGGGTCTAGACCACTTCTGAAATTCCTTTTTTTGTGGCTTAGACCTTTGAATGTGTGTAATCTGCCTGAAAGGAAAGAGCAGGGGGAGACAGCAGATGACAGCAGTTCCATTTTGGTTAGCTGAAGGAAGCAAGCAGAAACTAATGGAAGCAAAAAATATAAATTGGAATAAGCTCAGGGCTTACTCTGTACGTTGCTTTGTTTTCAGAAGAGGGAAGCCAAGTTCTCACAGGTTTCCAGTTTTGCTGTTCTTATGAATGATGATGCCACTTTTTTTTTTTAAATGACTGAGAGGAATGCACCTAAATACTTTTGTTAGGGTCCAGGCCTAGTAGAAATAAAATATAATACAGAGGTTTTAAATAGTATTTGACTGGTACATGTTTTAAGTGGAAATTTGCTTTCCTAAGGTTTATTATATTGATCTCTTTAATGCAATGTTTTAACTAACTCAAATTATTTTTCTTTTTATCCTCCACAGAATGATTTGCTACAATTATTCTCACAGTCTCAGTGGTATGCCCAAGCAAATATAAAAACTCATCAGACTAGACTAAGACTAGAGCTAGGTGAAAATGAGGAATTTTCATTCCATAAGGAATTCTGATGATTTGAAATTTGTTTTAGTTTATGACAAACTGCCAACACTCTAGTACTCCAATTTGAGTATGCTTGTTGCTTTTGGATTAAACATTAATCTATATTTCTCTGAGGTTTTGAAATGCTCATGTCCAATCTATTGGATGGGCTAGTAGTGGTACCATATTTCTCTGGGATGCACCATGCGCGTTGTACTCATGTGACGCAGCTCAGTAGTTCACTTACATGGATGCTGTAGGGCACCCTGAGAAGTGTGGCCCATCAGTTGGGAGCCCAGTCCGTGTAGAAATATGAGGGCTGGCAGTAACCGGGCCATACTTCCGACAAAGCTGAACAGTAGCTTCAACAGACAAACAGATGTATGTTTGATGTGAAACACGTTTGTTTGCAAAAAAAACCTATATACTTTGTTTAGAACCAGCTTGATCCTCAAAGACATATTTTTCCAGCAGAAAGCTGAAAATGACAACAAAATTGAAGTGATTATGCTAATTCCAGTTCAGCAGAAAATAAATGTTTTCAAAAGAATAGTTTTTATTAGTAAGTGTCTGTCCAACTCTCGTTTGATTCTGTCCCTTACATGACATGGATCTAAACTTTCCAAAAGAATGCAACTTTTCACCCTCCAAATTTTGTCCTATAGATACTCCACGGGCCTGAGAGGTGAGGAGTAATGGAGTTACTCAGTTTGAGGAAAACAAACAACAAATGCAGGAATAGATTTGGAGATCTGAATCTTACATTAAGTTTATGCACAATGTAGTGCTGTGCAAAAACACAGTGGGCACAGTATAAATCTCTTCCTTTAAATTTTAGTCCAAGGCCACAAGAGTCTGTACTGGATTTTGGCTCAAGTGAAAATGACGTTCTAACTTTAAGGGTAAGTCATTTGAGACATATATGTCTCCAAACACACTGAATACATGCGTATAGGAGATGGAAAGAGAGAAACAGCAAACATGCATGTGAATAGTCTGTTTGATATCAGGCAGAATTCAAAGTTATAATTGTTTGACTTGGGAAATGCAATCTTTCTCTTTAAGTTCATCCTTAAATTTTAAAGCATAATTTGTTTTGATTGAATTTCTAATGTTAATTAGTAAGGCTTGCACAATTAAAGACATCAAGAACATATAATTATGTTCCTTATAATTATACCATAATTGTTTTAGTATGTTAAATGATCTAATAGATTTTTCCTGTTTCAGCAGCAGCATTACAACCATCTCTGTTTTATGAAATAACTGGAAAATATTCAGTAGGTACTTTCAAGCATTTCAAGTAAAGTTTTGATGGGTATTCATCTACTAATGAAATATTCATGCATTATATTTTTCTCTATTACAAGTGACTTTCGCTGAAGCGCCTAATGCTTGGTTTGCTTAGACAGATAAAACATTCAATCAAA